AGTCTTTTTGTAACACCCCGACTTTCCAAAACGTATAAATTAACTCGTATCTTCGTGGAAAGACAAGGAGGGTGAGTAATAAATTAAAAATGATGTGGTATGTCATATTTTAAGTGTTCAAGGGTTGTATCTCAAGTTTGAAGTTAAGTAAGTGGCAAAATAAAAGTTGGCGAAAGTTATCGTAAGCTCCTTTTTAAAGATTTGTCTAAATTTTGGGTCAAATGTCTTGGATATTTTTTCCCAATATATAAATAGTTAGAAGGCCTATCACCCATTAAATGGAAGGCCTACGAGTCTAGTTTGCAATGCACAAACCCCTGTATCAAACCGACATCAAAGTAAAAAGTTATGAGGGTTTTACTAGGGACAACCGGGGCAGAATCTGGGTCGGGTAAAAAATATGGTATGTCGGCTTATTTAACGTTTTAAGCCATGAAAATATTCTATTTCAGTTCCAAATCAGAGACAAAGCTTAAGAGAGAGTTCCTATGGAGTTCTAGCATGATGAAGGTTAGTTTTTGACGATTTCTACCATTAAACATTACCCCCGTGCCTAGAAACGTAATCCCTACACGTGGCAATCATTTTTCCCTTCTATTAGCTGCGTTTGGAGCTGGTTTTTGAAGATATAAATCTATAGTTATTGTTGTTTCTTCAAGGTTTACACTTGGTTAATGTGAGTTTTTGAAGATATAAATTTGTAGTTTTTGGTGTTTCTTCAAAGTTTACACTTGGTTAACTAAGGTAATCATCTCGGGACCCTTTTATGGTTGTTTTTGTGAATTTCTACGGACGTTTTGACAAGTTGGGGCAATATGGTAAATCTGTTGATTTAAGATTAATTATGAACTGTTTATAGGTGCGTACCAGCTGTGTATATATAGTGTTTGTGAAGCTTAGTACATAAGGAATAACTTTAGTGAAGGAACTACGATCTTTCGAGCGTTCATTGGAAAGGTATGTTAAGGCTATTCCCTACTTATGGCATGTTTCCTTAAATCTTAGAAGCAATGTAATTGAGTTGTTATCCTTGTTACACTTGTAGCCATTATCGTTGTTTGTTGGCTTCTCGAGTTGATATAATCCTCCCTTATCGAGATTCTTATTCAGTTAGTAGCGTCCCTATGTTGCTCGCTTTTAGCGATTGGATTGTTATTGTTGCCCTTGGGGCTATTGTGGTTAGCTGCAGGAATGTGATATATGCCTAAAAGGGCTATGTTTTACCTACAGGGTTATATGGATGCCTAAAAGGGCTATG